GGGGAAATACAAGTGAGGGGAAATGAAGTGAGGGGGAATTGAGTGAGGGGGGATGGAAGTGAGGGGAAATGAAGTGAGGGGGGATTTCCTCTCACTCCATTCCCCCTCACTCACAGAAGTGGGGGGAAAACGAGTGAGGGGAAAAATAAGTGAGGGGAAATGAGATGAGGGGGAAGGGAGTGAGGGGGAATGGAAGTGAGGGGAAACAAAGTGAGGGGGACAGGGATGAGGAGGGATGGTGAAGGGAAATTGAGTGAGGGGGAATACAAGTGAGGGGGGATGGAAGTGAGGGGAAATGAAGTGAGGGGGGATTTCCTCTCACTCCATTCCCCCTCACTCACAGAAGTGGGGGGAAAACGAGTGAGGGGAAATATAAGTGAGGGGGAATGTAGTGAGGGGGAAGGGAGGGAGTGAGGAGAAATGGATGTGAGGGGAAACAAAGTGAGGGGGACAGGGATGAGAAGGGATGGAAGTGAGGGGAGATTGAGTGAGGGGGAATACAAGTGAGGGGGGATGGAAGTGAGGGGAAATTGAGTGAGGGGAAATACAAGTGAGGGGAAATAAAATGAGGGGGAAGAGAGTGAGGGGGGATGGAAGTGAGGGGAAATGAAGTGAGGGGGGATTTTCTCTCACTCACAGAAGTGGGGGGAAAACGAGTGAGGGGAAATATAAGTGAGGGGAAATGTAGTGAGGGGGAAGGGAGTGAGGGGGAATGGAAGTGAGGGGAAACAAAGTGAGGGGGACAGGGATGAGGAGGGATGGAAGTGAGGGGAAATTGAGTGAGGGGAAATACAAGTGAGGGGAAATGAAGTGAGGGGGGATTTCCTCTCACTCCATTCCCCTTCACTCACAGAAGTGGGGGGAAATTGAGTGAGGGGGAATACAAGTGAGGGGGGATGGAAGTGAGGGGAAATTGAGTGAGGGGAAATGAAGTGAGGGGAAATGAAGTGAGGGGTAAGAGAGTGAGGGGGGATGGAAGTGAGGGGAAATGAAGTGAGGGGGGATTTCCTCTCACTCCATTCCCCCTCACTCACAGAAGTGGGGGGAAAACGAGTGAGGGGAAATATAAGTGAGGGAAAATATAGTGAGGGGGAAGGGATTGAAGGGGAATGGAAGTGAGGGGAAACAAAGTGAGTGAGATAGGGATGAGGAGGGATGGAAGTGAGGGGAAATTGAGTGAGGGGAAATTCATGTTAGGGGGGATGGAAGTGAGGGGAAATTGAGTGAGGGGAAATACAAGTGAGGGGAAATGAAGTGAGGGGGAATAGAGTGAGGGGGGATGGAAGTGAGGGGAAATGAAGTGAGGGGGGATTTCCTCTCACTCCATTCCCCCTCACTCACAGAAGTGGGGGGAAAACAAGTGAGGGAAAAGATAAGTGAGGGGAAATGTAGTGAGGGGGAAGGGAGTGAGGGGGAATGGAAGTGAGGGGAAACAAAGTGAGGGAGACAAGGATGAGGAGGGATGGAAGTGAGGGGAAATTGAGTAAGGGGGAATACAAGTGAGGGGGGATGGAAGTGAGGGGAAATTGAGTGAGGGGAAATACAAGTGAGGGGAAATGAAGTGAGGGGGAATTGAGTGAGGGGGGATGGAAGTGAGGGGAAATGAATTTAGGGGGGATTTCCTCTCACTCCATTCCCCCTCACTCACAGAAGTGGGGGGAAAACGAGTGAGGGGTTTAGGGTTTAGGGTTTAGGGTTTAGGGGAAATACAAGTGAGGGGAAATGAGATGAGGGGGAAGAGAGTGAGGGGGGATGGAAGTGAGGAGAACCAAAGTGAGGGGGACAGGGATGAGGAGGGATGGTGAAGGGAAATTGAGTGAGGGGGAATACAAGTGAGGGGGGATGGAAGTGAGGGGAAATGAAGTGAGGGGGGATTTCCTCTCACTCCATTCCCCCTCACTCACAGAAGTGGGGGGAAAACGAGTGAGGGGAAATATAAGTGAGGGGAAATGTAGTGAGGGGGAAGGGAGTGAGGGGAAATGGATGTGAGGGGAAACAAAGTGAGGGGGACAGGGATGAGGAGGGATGGAAGTGAGGGGAGATTGAGTGAGGGGGAATACAAGTGAGGGGGGATGGAAGTGAGGGGAAATTGAGTGAGGGGAAATACAAGTGAGGGGAAATGAAATGAGGGGGAAGAGAGTGAGGGGGGATGGAAGTGAGGGGAAATGAAGTGAGGGGGGATTTTCTCTCACTCACAGAAGTGGGGGGAAAACGAGTGAGGGGAAATATAAGTGAGGGGAAATGTAGTGAGGGGGAAGGGAGTGAGGGGGAATGGAAGTGAGGGGAAACAAAGTGAGGGGGACAGGGATGAGGAGGGATGGAAGTGAGGGGAAATTGAGTGAGGGGGAATACAAGTGAGGGGGGATGGAAGTGAGGGGAAATTGAGTGAGGGGAAATACAAGTGAGGGAAAATGAAGTGAGGGGGAAGAGAGTGAGGGGGGATGGAAGTGAGGGGAAATGAAGTGAGGGGGGATTTCCTCTCACTCCATTCCCCCTCACTCACAGAAGTGGGGGGAAAACGAGTGAGGGGAAATGTAGTGAGGGGGAAGGGAGTGAGGGGGAATGGAAGTGAGGGGAAACAAAGTGAGGGGGACAGGGATGAGGAGGGATGGAAGTGAGGGGAAATTGAGTGAGGGGGAATACAAGTGAGGGGGACGGAAGTGAGGGGAAATTGAGTGAGGGGAAATACAGGTGAGGGGAAATGAAGTGTTCGGAGAGTCACTACACAACGGGAGTGGACTACGGAGGAGGGCACGGGGTTGTGCGAGTGATCGTAGCGCTCTGCTAGCGTTCTTACTGCTTGCTATGTTCACTGAGAAGTTTGGCAAGAATTCCACTAAGGAAAGAACAACTTGCAATAACAAAGTTGATATGAAAAAAATAGAGTACAATTGAGGCATGCAGAAGACTAGAATGGCATGGAACTCCTAGCAAGGGCGAACTCTGCCAGCGCAGCAGAAGAGCGGCTTGCCAACGCTGCTGCAGAGTGGTCTGACAACGTTGCACTGCGCGCGGTCTGCCAGCACTGCAGTCGCAGGTGACTATCTGCAATCGCAGGTAACTTTCTACGGTCGCAGGTTGTCTATCTGCGCAGATGTGCGCACCTACCAAGTAGGTGCAGGTTGGCGGTTTCACCGTCAGGCACATTGCGCAGGTGCCAGGTAGAAAACGTGTCGTCGGTTTCGCCAGGTGCGCGCCGTCGACCACGTGATGCCGTTCCGCAGGTAGAACTTCGCCAAAATCTCCTGGGCGAAAGTTCGCACGCCTTCGCAGAGTTTCGCGTGACTCTGCAGCTTCGGTCGATCAACTCGACTCTGCACGGTCGAACAGCGTTCGCTCGCAGAGCTTCTCGACCAGAACTTCTTCGACCAGAGTTCTTCGACGAGTGCTCTTCGACGAAACCTCGTCGCGCAGAGATCGTCGACCAGAGCTCATCGCGCAGAGCTCGTCGACCAGAATCCGTCGAGCAGAACCTGCTCGACCGCAACTTCCGCCGAACTGCAGAAGCCCATTTCGTCGACCGCTCCGTCGCGAACTTCCCGTCTACAGCGAGATCAGCTACGCTCAAGCGAGTGCGGGGCCATTTCCTTCGACACTCCCCTGCCGCGCTCACGCTTGGGCACCCCACACACAAGGTCCACCCAGAACCCAGAGGGATAGAATACAAGGAGAAATTTCCTTCTACGTGCACCCAACTCATAGCACGTAGTTCACCGCACCAGCCGTGCAGAAGGGCACGGCACCTACTGCTGCACCTCGTCATCCCCGTCGCCCACGTCGGCCAGACGCACTTGGCCGATTGCGACGGAGCACCGGTTGAAAGCCGGAAAATGCAGCGCCTTCGTCAGAAAATCCGCCGGCTGCTCAGAAGTCGGGATGTACTGCAGAGCAATCTTCCCGCGCTTCACCATCTGCTGCAGCCAGGCGTAGCGTCGCTCCATGTGCTTGAGGTTGCCCTTGAGCCCCAAGCCCTCTGCGACTTTGATTGCCGACTGGTTGTCCACGTGCAGAACAGTCGGCTTCCTTGGGTCGAGCAGGCGGAATTCTGCAAGGAGGAAGCGCAGACGGCGAGCCTTCTTGCCAGCTTCCGTCGCCGCGACGTACTCCGACTCCGTCGACGAGAGCGTCGCGCACTTGATGCGCTGGCTCGACCACGAAACTGCGGCTCCTCCGAAGATGAAAATGTAAACCGCCCGTGCTCGTCCGATTCTGCTTGTCGCCAGCGTCGTCTGCATCTGCATAGCCGACCAGAACCAGCGACTCTGGTCCGCCGCCGAACTCCAGAGCGGCGTCACGAGTTTCAGCGAGGTAGTGCAGGCAGCGATCGACCTCGCGCCAGTGGTTGTCGCTCCGCACTGTCAGGCCGGATCCGAGCTTGCTGCACGTGAAGGCGTTGTCGGGCCTCGTCGTGGTGGCCGCGAACTGCAGCGAGCCGACCTTCTGCCGGTATTCTGCTTCTCGCGCGACTGGAAGTCCTCGTCGTCGAAAGTCAGCTCTGCGTAGGCGTCGACGGAGACCGGCGTCTTCGGCACCCGCCCGGTCTGCTCCTCGTCGACGAAACGTCGACGCAACTTATCGACGTACGACTGCTGGTGCAGCCACAGCTTCCGCGCAGAACGGTCGCGCACGATTTCCAGCCCGAGATACTTCTCGACCGGGCTGATTTCGCGCAGCTCGAAGGCGGCCTCCAACAGCTCCTTCAGCTCCTTCAGCATCGCAGTGCTGCTGCTGGCGGCAAGCAGGTCGTCGACGTAGACTAGCACCCAGCACGCCGCTCCGTCGTCGCCGACCTTGAAGTAGAGTGCCTCGTCGACCTGACTTTTCTGCCAGCCAGCGCCCGTCAGCACCGCGTCGAGCGCCGAGTACCACAGCAGCGGACTCTGCTTCAGCCCGTACAAGCTCTTCAGCAGCTTGCAGACGCGACCGGTTCCGTCGTTGTAGTAGTCGGGTTGATACATGTAGAGATGCGATCCAGCTTACTCTACAGAAACGCGTTTTTCATGTCCCCGCCCCATTCTCCCGCTTTCCATCACCTCGCCCAATTCTCCCGCTTTCCATCACCCCGGCCCATTCTCCCGCTTTCCATCACCTCGCCCAACTCTAAAGCTTTCCATCATCCCTCCCCATTCTCCCTCTTTCCATCACCCCGGCCCATTCTCCCTCTTTCCATCACCCGCCCCGTTCTCCACTATTTATCACCCTCCCCATTCTCCCTCTTTCCATCACCCCGCCCCATTCTCCCGCTTTCCATCACCCCGCCCCATTCTCCCTCTTTCTATCACCCCGCCCCATTCTCCCTCTTTCTATCACCCCGCCCCATTCTCCCTGCTTCCATCACCTCGCCCCATTCTCCCGTTTTCCATCACCCCTCCCCATTCTCCCTCTTTCCATCACCCTGCCCCATTCTCCCGCTTTCCATCACCCCGCCCCATTCTCCCTCTTTCCATCACCCCGCCCCATTCTCCCGCTTTCCATCACCCCGCCCCATTCTCCCGCATTCCATCACCTCGCCCATTCTCCCGCTTTCCATCACCCCACTCCATTCTCCCGCTTTCCATCACCCCGCCCCATTCTCCCGCTTTCCATCACCCCGCCCCATTCTCCCGCTTTCCATCACCCCGCCCCATTCTCCCGCTTTCCATCACCCCGCCCCATACTCCCGCTTTCCATCACCCCGCCCCATTCTCCCGCTTTCCATCACCCCGCCCCATTCTCACTCTTCCATCACCCCGCCCCATTCTCCATTTTCCATCACCCCGCCCCATTCTAACTCTATCCATCACCCCGCCCCATTCTCCCGCTTTCCATCACCTCGCCCCATTCTCCCGCTTTCCATCACCTCGCCCAATTCTCCATCATCCCTCCCCATTCTCCCTCTTTCCATCACCCCGCCCCATTCTCCCTCTTTCCATCACCCCGCCCCGTTCTCCCGCTTTTTATCACCTCGCCCCATTCTCCCTCTTTCCATCACCCCGCACGATTCTCCCGCTTTCCATCACCCCGCCCCATTCTCCCTCTTTCTATCACCCCGCCCCATTCTCCCTCTTTCCATCACCCCGCCCCATTCTCCCTGCTTCCATCACCTCGCCCCATTCTCCCGCTTTCCATCACCCCGCTCCATTCTCCCTCTTTCCATCACCCCGCCCCATTCTCCCGCTTTCCATCACCCCGCCCCATTCTCCCGCTTTCCATCACCTCGCCCCATTCTCCCGCTTTCCATCACCCCACTCCATTCTCCCGCTTTCCATCACCCCGCCCCATTCTCCCGCTTTCCATCACCCCGCCCCATTCTCCCGCTTTCCATCACCCCGCCCCATTCTCCCGCTTTCCATCACCCCGCCCCATCCTCCCGCTTTCCATCACCCCGCCCCATTCTCCCGCTTTCCATCACCCCGCCCCATTCTCCCTCTTTCCATCACCCCGCCCCATTCTCCCTCTTTCCATCACCCCGCCCCATTCTAACTCTATCCATCACCCCGCCCCATTCTCCCGCTTTCCATCACCTCGCCCCATTCTCCCGCTTTCCATCACCTCGCCCAATTCTCCATCATCCCTCCCCATTCTCCCTCTTTCCATCACCCCGCCCCATTCTCCCTCTTTCCATCACCCCGCCCCGTTCTCCCGCTTTTTATCACCCCGCCCCATTCTCCCTCTTTCCATCACCCCGCACGATTCTCCCGCTTTCCATCACCCCGCCCCATTCTCCCTCTTTCCATCACCCCGCCCCATTCTCCCGCTTTCCATCAACCCGCCCCATTCTCCCGCTTTCCATCACGCCGCCCCATTCTCCCGCTTTCCATCACCCCGCCCCATTCTCCCGCTTTCCATCACCCCACCCCATTCTCCCGCTTTCCATCACCCCGCCCCATTCTCCCGCTTTCCATCACCCGCCCCATTCTCCCGCTTTCCATCACCCCGCCCCATTCTCCCGCTTTCCATCACCCCGCCCCATTCTCCCGCTTTCCATCACCCCGCCCCATTCTCCCTCTTTCCATCACCTCGCCCCATTCTCCCGCTTTCCATCACCCCTCCCCATTCTCCCTCTTTCCATCACCCCACCCCATTCTCCCTCCTTCCATCACCCCGCCCCATTCTCCCGCTTTCCATCACCCCGCCCCATTCTCCCTCTTTCCATCACCCCGCCCCATTCTCCCGCTTTCCATCACCCCACCCCATTCTCCCGCTTTCCATCACCTCGCCCCATTCTCCCGCTTTCCATCACCCCGCCCCATTCTCCCTCTTTCCATCACCCCGCCCCATTCTCCCGCTTTCCATCACCCCGCCCCATTCTCCCGATTTCCATCACCCCGCCCCATTCAACCGCTTTCCATCACCCCGCCCCATTCTCCCTCTTTCCATCACCCCGCCCCATTCTCCCGATTTCCATCACCCCGCCCCATTCTCCCGCTTTCCATCACGCCGCCCCATTCTCCCGCTTTCCATCACCCCGCCCCATTCTCCCGCTTTCCATCACCCCGCCCCATTCTCCCGCTTTCCATCACCCGCCCCATTCTCCCGCTTTCCATCACCCCGCCCCATTCTCCCGCTTTCCATCACCCCGCCCCATTCTCCCGCTTTCCATCACCCCGGCCCATTCTCCCGCTTTCCATCACCCCGCCCCATTCTCCCGCTTTCCATCACCCCGCCCCATTCTCCCGCTTTCCATCACCCCGCCCCATTCTCCCGCTTTCCATCACCCCGCCCCATTCTCCCTCTTTCCATCACCTCGCCCCATTCTCCCGCTTTCCATCACCCCTCCCCATTCTCCCTCTTTCCATCACCCCGCCCCATTCTCCCAATTTCCATCACCCCGCCCCATTCTCCCGCTTTCCATCACCCCGCCCCATTCTCCCGCTTTCCATCACCCCGCCCCATTCTCCCTCTTTCCATCACCTCGCCCCATTCTCCCGTTTTCCATCACCCCTCCCCATTCTCCCTCTTTCCATCACCCGCCCCATTCTCCCGCTTTCCATCACCCCGCCTCATTCTCCCGCCTTCCATCACCCCGCCCCATTCTCCCTCTTTCCATCACCCCGCCCCATTCTCCCGCTTTCCATCACCCCGCCCCATTCTCCCTGCTTCCATCACCTCGCCCCATTCTCCCTCTTTCCATCACCCCGCCCCATTCTCCCGTTTTCCATCACCTCGCCCCATTCTCCCGCTTTCCATCACCCCGCCCCATTCTCCCTCTTTCCATCACCCCGCCCCATTCTCCCTCCTTCCATCACCCCGCCCCATTCTCCCGTTTTCCATCACCTCGCCCCATTCTCCCGCTTTCCATCACCCCGCCCCATTCTCCCTCTTTCCATCACCCTGCCCCATTCTCCTGCTTTCCATCACCCCGCCCCATTCTCCCGTTTTCCATCACCTCGCCCCATTCTCCCGCTTTCCATCACCCCGCCCCATTCTCCCTCTTTCCATCACCCCGCCCCATTCTCCCTCCTTCCATCACTCCGCCCCATTCTCCCGCTTTCCATCACCTCGCCCCATTCTCCCGCTTTCCATCACCCCGCCCCATTCTCCCTCTTTCCATCACCCCGCCCCATTCTCCCGCTTTCCATCACCCCACCCCATTCTCCCTCTTTCCATCACCCCGCCCCATTCTCCCACTTTCCATCACCCCGCCCCATTCTCCCTCTTTCCATCACCCCGCCTATTCTCCTGCTTTCCATCACCCCGCCCCATTCTCCCGCTTTCCATCATCCCGCCCCATTCTCCCGCTTTCCATCACCCCGCCCCATTCTCCCGCTTTCCATCAACCCGCCCCATTCTCCCGCTTTCCATCACGCCGCCCCATTCTCCCGCTTTCCATCACCCCGCCCCATTCTCCCGCTTTCCATCACCTCGCCCCATTCTCCCGCTTTCCATCACCCGCCCCATTCTCCCGCTTTCCATCACCTCGCCCCATTCTCCCGCTTTCCATCACCCTGCCCCATTCTCCCTCTTTCCATCACCCCTCCCCATTCTCCCGCTTTCCATCACCCCGCCCCGTTCTCCCGCTTTCTATCACCCCGCCCCATTCTCCCTCTTTCCATCACCCCGCACGATTCTCCCGCTTTCCATCACCCCGCCCCATTCTCCCTCTTTCTATCACCCCGCCCCATTCTCCCGCTTTCCATCACCCCGCCCCATTCTCCCGCTTTCCATCACCCCGCCCCATTCTCCCTCTTTCCATCACCCCGCCCCATTCTCCCGCTTTCCATCACCCCGCCCCGTTCTCCCTCTTTCCATCACCCCGCCCCATTCTCCCGCTTTCCATCATCCCGCCCCATTCTCCCGCTTTCCATCAACCCGCCCCATTCTCCCTCTTTCCATCACCCCGCACGATTCTCCCGCTTTCTATCACCCCGCCCCATTCTCCCTCTTTCTATCACCCCGCCCCATTCTCCCGCTTTCCATCACCCCGCCCCATTCTCCCGCTTTCCATCACCCCGCCCCATTCTCCCGCTTTCCACCACCCCGCCCCATTCTCCCTCTTTCCATCACCCCGCCCCATTCTAGTCCACGTGTTTGTTGGACCAACAAGCCAGTTGGTCCACGTGTTTGTTGGACCAACAAGCCAGTTGCTCCACGTGTTTGTTGGACCAACAAGCCAGTTGCTCCACGTGTTTGTTGGACCAACAAGCCAGTTGCTCCACGTGTTTGTTGGACCAACAAGCCAGTTGGTCGACGTGTTTGTTGGACCAACAAGCCAGTTGGTCGACGTGTTTGTTGGACCAACAAGCCAGTTGGTCGACGTGTTTGTTGGACCAACAAGCCAGGTGGTCGACGTGTTTGATGGACCAACAAGCCAGGTGGTCGACGTGTTTGATGGACCAACAAGCCAGGTGGTCGACGTGTTTGATGGACCAACAAGCCAGGTGGTCGACGTGTTTGATGGACCAACAAGCCAGGTGGTCGACGTGTTTGATGGACCAACAAGCCAGGTGGTCGACGTGTTTGATGGACCAACAAGCCAGGTGGTCGACGTGTTTGATGGACCAACAAGCCAGGTGGTCGACGTGTTTGATGGACCAACAAGCCAGTTGGTCGACGTGTTTGTTGGACCAACAAGCCAGTTGCTCCACGTGTTTGTTGGACCAACAAGCCAGTTGCTCCACGTGTTTGTTGGACCAACAAGCCAGTTGCTCCACGTGTTTGTTGGACCAACAAGCCAGTTGCTCCACGTGTTTGTTGGACCAACAAGCCAGTTGCTCCACGTGTTTGTTGGACCAACAAGCCAGTTGCTCCACGTGTTTGTTGGACCAACAAGCCAGTTGCTCCACGTGTTTGTTGGACCAACAAGCCAGTTGGTCGACGTGTTTGATGGACCAACAAGCCAGGTGGTCGACGTGTTTGTTGGACCAACAAGCCAGCTGGTGGACGTGTTTGTTCGACCAACAAGCCAGGTGGTCGACGTGTTTGATGGACCAACAAGCCAGGTGGTCGACGTGTTTGATGGACCAACAAGCCAGGTGGTCGACGTGTTTGATGGACCAACAAGCCAGGTGGTCGACGTGTTTGATGGACCAACAAGCCAGGTGGTCGACGTGTTTGATGGACCAACAAGCCAGGTGGTCGACGTGTTTGTTGGACCATCAAGCCAACGAGCCAGGTGGTCGACGTGTTTGATGGACCAACAAGCCAGGTGGTCGACGTGTTTGATGGACCAACAAGCCAGGTGGTCGACGTGTTTGATGGACCAACAAGCCAGGTGGTCGACGTGTTTGATGGACCAACGAGCCAGGTGGTCAACGTGTCTGATGGACCAACGAGCCAGGTGGTCCACGTGTCTCATGGACCAACAAGCCAGGTGGTCGACGTGTTTGATGGACCAACAAGCCAGGTGGTCGACGTGTTTGATGGACCAACAAGCCAGGTGGTCGACGTGTTTGATGGACCAACGAGCCAGTTGGTCGACGTGTTTGATGGACCAACGAGCCAGTTGGTCGACGTGTTTGATGGACCAACGAGCCAGTTGGTCGACGTGTTTGATGGACCAACGAGCCAGTTGGTCGACGTGTTTGATGGACCAACGAGCCAGTTGGTCGACGTATCTGTTGGACCAACGAGCCAGTTGGTCGACGTGTTTGATGGACCAACAAGCCAGTTGGTCCACGTGTTTGATGGACCAACGAGCCAGTTGGTCCACGTGTTTGATGGACCAACGAGCCAGTTGGTCCACGTGTTTGATGGACCAACGAGCCAGTTGGTCCACGTGTTTGATGGACCAACGAGCCAGTTGGTCCACGTGTTTGATGGACCAACGAGCCAGTTGGTCCACGTGTTTGATGGACCAACGAGCCAGGTGGTCGACGTGTTTGATGGACCAACGAGCCAGGTGGTCGACGTGTTTGATGGACCAACGAGCCAGGTGGTCGACGTGTTTGATGGACCAACGAGCCAGGTGGTCGACGTGTTTGATGGACCAACAAGCCAGCTGGTCCGCGTGTTTGTTGGACCAACAAGCCAGCTGGTCCGCGTGTTTGTTGGACCAACAAGCCAGCTGGTCCGCGTGTTTGTTGGACCAACAAGCCAGCTGGTCCGCGTGTTTGTTGGACCAACAAGCCAGCTGGTCCGCGTGTTTGTTGGACCAACAAGCCAGCTGGTCCGCGTGTTTGTTGGACCAACAAGCCAGCTGGTCCGCGTGTTTGTTGGACCAACAAGCCAGCTGGTCCGCGTGTTTGTTGGACCAACAAGCCAGCTGGTCCGCGTGTTTGTTGGACCAACAAGCCAGCTGGTCCGCGTGTTTGTTGGACCAACAAGCCAGCTGGTCCGCGTGTTTGTTGGACCAACAAGCCAGCTGGTCCGCGTGTTTGTTGGACCAACAAGCCAGCTGGTCCGCGTGTTTGTTGGACCAACAAGCCAGCTGGTCCGCGTGTTTGTTGGACCAACAAGCCAGCTGGTCCGCGTGTTTGTTGGACCAACAAGCCAGCTGGTCCGCGTGTTTGTTGGACCAACAAGCCAGCTGGTCCGCGTGTTTGTTGGACCAACAAGCCAGCTGGTCCGCGTGTTTGTTGGACCAACAAGCCAGCTGGTCCGCGTGTTTGTTGGACCAACAAGCCAGCTGGTCCGCGTGTTTGTTGGACCAACAAGCCAGCTGGTCCGCGTGTTTGTTGGACCAACAAGCCAGCTGGTCCGCGTGTTTGTTGGACCAAAAAGCCAGCTGGTCCGCGTGTTTGATGGACCAACAAACCAGATGGTCCGCGTGTTTGATGGACCAACAAGCCAGTTGGTCCGCGTGTTTGATGGACCAACAAGCCAGCTGGTCCGCGTGTTTGATGGACCAACAAGCCAGTTGGTCGACGCGTTTGTTGGACCAACAAGCCAGTTGGTCCGCGTGTTTGTTGGACCAACAAGCCAGTTGGTCCGCGTGTTTGTTGGACCAACAAGCCAGCTGGTCCACGTGTTTGATGGACCAACAAGCCAGCTGGTCCACGTGTTTGTTGGACCAACAAGCCAGCTGGTCCACGTGTTTGATGGACCAACAAGCCAGCTGGTCCACGTGTTTGTTGGACCAACAAGCCAGCTGGTCCACGTGTTTGTTGGACCAACAAGCCAGCTGGTCCACGTGTTTGTTGGACCAACAAGCCAGCTGGTCCACGTGTTTGATGGACCAACAAGCCAGCTGGTCCACGTGTTTGATGGACCAACAAGCCAGCTGGTCCACGTGTTTGATGGACCAACAAGCCAGCTGGTCCACGTGTTTGATGGACCAACAAGCCAGCTGGTCCACGTGTTTGATGGACCAACAAGCCAGCTGGTCCACGTGTTTGTTGGACCAACAAGCCAGCTGGTCCACGTGTTTGTTGGACCAACAAGCCAGCTGGTCCACGTGTTTGATGGACCAACAAGCCAGCTGGTCCACGTGTTTGATGGACCAACAAGCCAGCTGGTCCACGTGTTTGATGGACCAACAAGCCAGCTGGTCCACGTGTTTGATGGACCAACAAGCCAGCTGGTCCACGTGTTCGATGGACCAACAAGCCAGCTGGTCCACGTGTTCGATGGACCAACAAGCCAGCTGGTCCACGTGTTCGATGGACCAACAAGCCAGCTGGTCCACGTGTTCGATGGACCAACAAGCCAGCTGGTCCACGTGTTCGATGGACCAACAAGCCAGTTGGTCCACGTGTTCGTTGGACCAACAAGCCAGTTGGTCCACGTGTTCGTTGGACCAACAAGCCAGTTGGTCCACGTGTTCGATGGACCAACAAGCCAGTTGGTCCACGTGTTGAGGGGCTTGAGGGCTTGAGGGCTTGAAGGCTTGAGGGCTTGAGGGCTTGAGGGCTTGAGGGCTTGAAGGCTTGAAGGCTTGAAGGCTTGAAGGCTTGAAGGCTTGAAGGCTTGAAGGCTTGAAGGCTTGAAGGCTTGAGGGCTTGAGGGCTTGAAGGCTTGAAGGCTTGAGGGCTTGAGGGCTTGAAGGCTTGAAGGCTTGAAGGCTTGAAGGCTTGAAGGCTTGAAGGCTTGAAGGCTTGAGGGCTTGAAGGCTTGAAGGCTTGAAGGCTTGAAGGCTTGAGGGCTTGAGGGCTTGAGGGCTTGAGGGCTTGAGGGCTTGAAGGCTTGAAGGCTTGACAGCTGAGGGCTTGAGGGCTTGAAGGCTTGAAGGCTTGAAGGCTTGAGGGCTTGAGGGCTTGAAGGCTTGAAGGCTTGAAGGCTTGAAGGCTTGAAGGCTTGAAGGCTTGAAGGCTTGAGGGCTTGAAGGCTTGAAGGCTTGAAGGCTTGAAGGCTTGAGGGCTTGAGGGCTTGAGGGCTTGAGGGCTTGAGGGCTTGAGGGCTTGAAGGCTTGAAGGCTTGAGGGCTTGAGGGCTTGAGGGCTTGAGGGCTTGAAGGCTTGAAGGCTTGAAGGCTTGAAGGCTTGAAGGCTTGAAGGCTTGAAGGCTTGAAGGCTTGAAGGCTTGAAGGCTTGAAGGCTTGAGGGCTTGAGGGCTTGAAGGCTTGAAGGCTTGAAGGCTTGAGGGCTTGAGGGCTTGAGGGCTTGAAGGCTTGAAGGCTTGAGGGCTTGAGGGCTTGAGGGCTTGAAGGCTTGAAGGCTTGAGGGCTTGAAGGCTTGAAGGCTTGAAGGCTTGAAGGCTTGAGGGCTTGAAGGCTTGAGGGCTTGAAGGCTTGAAGGCTTGAAGGCTTGAAGGCTTGAAGGCTTGAAGGCTTGAAGGCTTGAAGGCTTGAAGGCTTGAAGGCTTGAAGGCTTGAGGGCTTGAGGGCTTGAGGGCTTGAGGGCTTGAAGGCTTGAAGGCTTGAAGGCTTGAGGGCTTGAAGGCTTGAAGGCTTGAAGGCTTGAAGGCTTGAAGGCTTGAAGGCTTGAAGGCTTGAAGGCTTGAGGGCTTGAAGGCTTGAAGGCTTGAAGGCTTGAGGGCTTGAGGGCTTGAGGGCTTGAAGGCTTGAAGGCTTGAAGGCTTGAAGGCTTGAAGGCTTGAAGGCTTGAAGGCTTGAAGGCTTGAAGGCTTGAGGGCTTGAAGGCTTGAGGGCTTGAGGGCTTGAGGGCTTGAGGGCTTGAGGGCTTGAAGGCTTGAAGGCTTGAGGGCTTGAGGGCTTGAAGGCTTGAAGGCTTGAAGGCTTGAGGGCTTGAAGGATTGAAGGCTTGAAGGCTTGAAGGCTTGAAGGCTTGAAGGCTTGAAGGGTTGAAGGCTTGAAGGCTTGAAGGCTTGAAGGCTTGAGGGCTTGAGGGCTTGAAGGCTTGAAGGCTTGAGGGCTTGAGGGCTTGAGGGCTTGAGGGCTTGAAGGCTTGAAGGCTTGAAGGCTTGAGGGCTTGAGGGCTTGAAGGCTTGAAGGCTTGAAGGCTTGAAGCCTCGTGGGAACGAGGCTCGTGGGAACGAGGCTTGTGGGAATGAGGCTCGTGGGAACGAGGCTTGTGGGAACGAGGCCCCTGGGAACGAGGCCCCTGGGAACGAGAGCCCTGGGAACGAGAGCCCTGGGAACGAGGCTCGTGGGAACGAGGCTCGTGGGAACGAGGCCCCTGGGAACGAGGCCCCTGGGAACGAGGCCCCTGGGAACGAGGCCCCTGGGAACGAGGCTCGTGGGAACGAGGCCCCTGGGAACGAGGCCCCTGGGAACGAGGCCCCTGGGAACGAGGCCCCTGGGAACGAGGCCTCTGGGAACGAGGCCTCTGGGAACAAGGCCGCTGGGAACGAGGCCCCTGGGAACGAGGCCCCTGGGAACGAGGCCCCTGGGAACGAGGCCCCTGGGAACGAGGCCCCTGGGAACGAGGCCCCTGGGAACGAGGCCCCTGGGAACGAGGCCCCTGGGAACGAGGCCCCTGGGAACGAGGCCCCTGGGAACGAGGCCCCTGGGAACGAGGCCCCTGGGAACGAGGCCCCTGGGAACGAGGCCCCTGGGAACGAGGCCCCTGGGAACGAGGCCCCTGGGAACGAGGCCCCTGGGAACGAGGCCCCTGGGAACGAGGCCCCTGGGAACGAGGCCCCTGGGAACGAGGCCCCTGGGAACGAGGCCCCTGGGAACGAGGCCCCTGGGAACGAGGCCCCTGGGAACGAGGCCCCTGGGAACGAGGCCCCTGGGAACGAGGCCCCTGGGAACGAGGCCCCTGGGAACGAGGCCCCTGGGAACGAGGCCCCTGGGAACGAGGCCCCTGGGAACGAGGCCCCTGGGAACGAGGCCCCT